TCATTTATTTGAAGAAACTTTATAGCACTCTGTCCCAGGTACCTACTGACCAAATAATATGCTCTAGGCCTCTTCTTGGTTACTCAGAAGTTGTTTAAAGTTTTTTTTTATATAATTAACCCCTGTGACATTGAAAGTAGGTCAAGGACATTTATTTGAAGAAACTTTATAGCACTCTGTCCCAGGTACCTACAGACCAAATAATATGCTCTAGGCCTCTTCTTGGTTACTCAGAAGTTGTTTAAAGGTTTTTATATAATTAACCCTGTGACCTTAAAAGTAAGCCAAGGACATTTATTTGAGGAAACCTTACAGCACTTTATGTCAGGTACCTACTAGCAAAGTGCTATCACTCTGTGCCTCCTGGCCTAAGTTATTCAGAAGAATTTGTCATTTGTTTTACATAATTAACCCTAGTGACCATGAAAGTAGGTCAAGGTAATTTATTTGAGGAAACTATATAGTACTCTATCCCAGGTACCTACTGGCTAAATATCATGGTCCAAAGTCCTCCAGTTTTTAGGAAGAAGTTGGTAAAATAAAAGGGTAACAGACGGCGTACAACACACCATAGCATTATGGGTCAGAATGAAAAAATAATACCCAGATGCACAACATCAGGTGGAAGTTATCATATCTGGAAACTTTCATTGAAATTGGTCCGTTACATTAGAAAGAGTTGTCCGGACAAACTTTTTCTACGGACAGACAGGCTGATTCCATTATATCCCCCCCCCCCTCCCTAACTTCGGTGCGGGGGATATAATAACTGTAACATACAGCCACAGACTTATAGATCTAATCTAATTCCATGGCTAAACAGAACAATGTTGTTTGACAGTATATATTGTGTACCGCTGTGCTTCTGGTAATATAGAAGATTAATTTCACTTCATCCTGAAATGTCCATTCTCTGAAGACCCGAGATGTTAATATATCAAGCAATTCTCACTCAAGTGCCATACCTCTTTCTTTGATATCATGAGGTAGAAGTTCAAGGGTCAGAATCTAGGATTGTTCAAGCGGGGATTTTATATGAAGTTAATGGTGGTTCTATCTCATATAAAATACCTTTTTTTAATGTATCATAATACACGTATGACCTTGCCTAGGTATCCATTTTACATAATTTATGGGAACTCATCTTTTAAAACCAATGACGTGAACGGATTTACTATTTATCAAATAGCCAAGATTTGTTTAAAATTAAAAGCTTTTTGAGCCTTTCGGTAATAGAAATTGTAAGGGAAAAGTGAACGGATGACTGCGATGTGGCATTAGAGCACAAGTCCTTCCAAGCTTGAGAGCTAAAACAGGAGCATTAACAGATAGGACATTCTTAACATGAAATCTGTAGTACCTATGTTTTTTAAGGATTCCTGCCAAACTGCACTGTGGTTTTTCATATATACAGTTATTATATAACTTCTCCCTAATTTCATTTCACACAGTTGCACATTTGAGTCTGAATACTTCCACAAACTATAGCTAGCTAGGGAATAGCTCAGCCGTTACAGCGATAGTGTAACTATTATGAGGTTCGGGGTTCGAATCTCCATCTAGCAGTAACCCCCAGCTAATATTTTTACATTCTGAGCACTTTATTTTATTTTTTTCTGTGTTTTACATAAAGTCCCAAAATATATGATTTTCTTTTCATCAGATATTATTTATCAAAGTTATACTCATGCCAGAAATAACAGTTTCCAATGAATGGAAGGATTTTAAAGATTAAACTAAATTTCCCTTATTGGGGCCCCCGCCCTTCTGCACCCTTTAACTCATTCTTCCCTGAAATTTCATAATGAACTGATCCAACCTTCGAATTGGAGGAGTTCAAATATATCCTCAGGGGTGAATGAGTTAATTCGTTTGATTTCACTTTGCACCAGGCCAAATTTAGTCGAATCAGATAAGCCGTTTAGGACTAGTAACATTTCAACAGAAAAGTTGACAAACAGACGGACGACAAATGCTACAAAAAAAGTCAGCTTACAAACCTAGCGGCTGAATTACATCTAGTAATGCATGATTTTAATTTTTTTAAGATGTTTGTTCAAGATTTGAACACATTTCAAACCCGACACCAAGGTGCAACACGACTCTATTTAAATTTTCCCGAAGGGCAAGCATTGTGTAAGTTAACCTGAAGAAATCGGTGTAACACGATACAGTATGTTTACGCACTTTCAGGTGGCATTCATACGCAATATGAATGCCAACTAAACACAATAGTGTTTCATGTTGGATTGTTTTTGTCTATTTGCAATTGGCATTCATACATTGCCTATGAATGCCAGCTGAAGGCAATTTAATACTTAAACTGACAATTTTTAGAATATATTAACCGCATAGAAAAATTCTTCCTCAGCATTTAGTTCAAATAATGTATTTAAAGTACATTTAATCAATCAATTAAATAGCCATCTATGGCTATCTGTTCTTGGCTTTAATTTCCACCTGAATGTGTTAGGGCAATGCCATAGGATGGTAATTATATATAAATACAATAAAGTTGATGGGAGTTTCACTCTATAAAACTCAAGTCCAAGCTAGTATCATTAGGACGTTTGACCCTATGCCTTGTAGGTTGCTCATTAAAGCATTTGATACCATTTTCTCCTAGCAAATTACAGGTCTAAAGTCCAACTTGTCACAAGTATCACTGAAATTGATCTGAAAGTAAGAATATTTCTTGTTTTAGATGTAGATAGCCCCAGAACAAAGGAACAAACAAAGCAGAAGTTGATGACATTGTAAAAATATATTTCTTTCATAAAACGGTCATAAACATAAGTATGCATACATCAGAGGCTCCGATCACCTCAAACAGACAGACGTATTCCCTACAATCACTTAAAACAAAACTCTTATCACTTAGAGGAAACATTATGCAAGAAACCATTTATAACAACAAAACATACCACTATCGGAGCTTACCTAGCAACAGCCGTATCTCCATAGAAACAGATACAAATCGTATCTGCTAATGATCTAAATATATCTCAATGACAAAAACAGAAACAATAAAAAAAAATACAACACACAGTGCAAAAAGTATATCTACAATCAGCCCCACGAATATCGACCGTGTTTCTATTTTCCGCTCTCAAAGGATCTGGTTACATCTGTTTGTAAATGTATCAAACTATGCATTTTGTTAGGCAACAGTTGATAGGGACAGTTAATTTAGGAAGCGTTTCAGATTTTGTAGTTCTCGTCTGAAATTGGACTGAAAATTTCAGTCTCTGAAACTTCGTATCGATGAGAATAGAAATTTCCCATTGTAACTTTACTTTTCACCAAGGTTTGTTTCTCCATGACAAGCTTAAAAGTTGTTCATTTCCCCTCGTTATAACCATTGATAACTTTGATGTCAAACAAGTAATTGCGGTATCAATGGACTACCATGTTTGAGTTTGCCATTGTAAAGTTCAGGGGGAAATGTTATACTTGACAAAAGTACAAAGTGTAATAAACAAGAAATAACCTGTCCTAGGCAATAAATTGGAGAAAAATGGAATGGTAACGGATTTCCCCGATTTGAAAATTTGAAAATCAGAAGCGCCTCTCCAAAACTTGGCAAGTATCAGGGGTGCAGAGATCGTGAGTGATATTTGTAGGCAGCAGAGAGAATGTACAAACCAAATTATTGATTTGTTCATGTCTTGCAAGAGACATTTTCATCACAATCTTCAAAGAGAGTGTAACCCCCGGAGTATGGATGATGTGTTAAACCTTGCTATACTGCCACCATTTGCCGTGAGAAATGTAAAGGGTTTGACAATATATTGGGCAGGGTTTTCAGAATAAATGGGGTCTTTTTCATAATTTCAATGAGATTACTGAAAATTGGAAGGGTACTTCAGAATTTCAATACTTCTGCAGGGTTAACATTTTTTGCTTGGTAGTCCACAGGACTAGTTGAATAACTTATTTACTAGTCCCCCATCAATGTAACTAGTCCAAGATTTCCTGATAAGGAAACATCCTGATCTACAGCATGAAACATTAAAAGTAATCGACTTTAGGGGACTTAAAATAACTACTGCCATGAAAATCTGGAGAGGTTTTCGGAAAATTTTGACATATCAGGCAATATATCTTATTTCAAACAGTTTTCTAAATTTTAAAAAGGAATATTCTTATTTCATAATCATATTTTTCATAAGTCCAAAGGACCAGTTAGGTTAGGTGATTCACTAGTCTTTGCTGAAATCTACTTGTCCAGGACTGGCTGACAGAATTTAGAAGCATTGTATATACATGTAGGTACCATGTACAAGCATAGCCTCCTAGCACACCCTGTTCAGAGGCAGTCCAAAATGCACACTCATCGTATATTTACATCTAGAGTGTTTTATCAAATCAAAGTATGGCCCGGCCCATGTACAATACACCAGAATAATGTGCTGAATTTTTCCAACAGAAAAGCTAATGTAACAACGAAACAAATATATGAAAAACTTAATATGAACATTGTGACCATCAACAACATATATAACAAGTGAAAATATACTGATAATACATCAATATATATCAAACAGGAAAAACAATAGCTCAAATATACAGGTGAAAAGATGACAAAACCACAAATGAAATGTAAAACATTCAATAATTAACACACCTTTCCTACCATGTATGAAATACTGAAAAAAACCCATAACTGTACCTTTTTTCGAGTACCAATAGACAAAACGCTTCCGCAACATTTATCAAAGTCCCATTTGATCTTATTATTTAATTGATTTTAATGATAATCAATCCAACATTTTTAATGTTAAATTTCTGAATTTAAAAAAATTTGGTTGATAAAACCTAATACCATTCCTTTTTTTTTTTTTACTAATTGCTTATCACAGAGCCAGTTATCAAGCAATTACCAATTTCAAATTGTTTACAGGTCATTGTCATACATTTCATAAGTTTGCTTTTTAGCATATTAACTCATTCACCCCTGAATTTTTTATAATGAACTATTCCAACCTTTGAAATGGAAGAGTTCAAATGTGTCTCCAGGGGTGAATGAGTTAATATGTATACATGCATATGCACACAATGTAACAAATATTATCACATAAGAATCTACTGTTGACTATATAAGGATACATGTCTACGGCTGGGTATACTTAAGCTACTGTATTTACAAACAACAAATACCTTATAACTCTCATTCATTTCAAATGCCATTCGTATTTTTCAGTATAGCAAGTCTTCATTTTTAGTTACGAAAATAAATTTTCAAAAGATTGAAAATGCCAGTTGCATGTTGAAAAATAAATTTGAACATATTTGAGAAGCAACTAACTTTCAAACAAGGGTGAAATGAAGAAAATGTCAAGTTGAAAATTTGCAAGTTGCAATGGTTACCAGATCATTAAATTTTAGAACAGATCAATAGTAACCTAGAATTGTAGACATTTTTTTTACCATAACATCTCTAAATTAAATCCTTCTTTTATAAATTTTACAAAAATTATATTTATTTATTTCATCTTTTGGTAAGATAGTAAAACAATTATAATACTTATTACATTTCCTCTCCAGCATACGCCTTGTAGTACATTTCTTTTTTAACTTATTCACCTTCTTAAGCTTAAATTTTATAATGAACTATTTCAACCTTTGAATTGGATGAGTCCAAATGTGTCTTCAGGGGTGAATAAGTTGATCTCGGCCTTATTATGGAAAGAGTTTTCACAGAAATAAACAATGCTTTAAATTTAGAAACAAAATATCAATAGTAGCGTCAATAACTCCACTAAAAGGCTGCTATTGTAACAGATAAATCAGTATGATAACCTTTTAACTCATTCACCCCCCCCCCCGAAACTTCATAATGAACTGTTGCAACCATTGAATTGGAAAAGTTCAAATGGGTCTTCAGGGGTTTGAGTTAAAAGTTAAAAGTCTTGTCAAAAGAGCTTTTCTTTAACATTAAAGTTATTTCAAAACCATATATCTAAAATAAAATCAATTTTAAAATATAGGGAAATCACACAATTTCACAAAAACCTCGGTTAATGTAATTTCTTCACAGTCACAATTTTATCACAAATGCTGGTCCGGAATCGTAGCTCATAATTAGTCAACTATGTATAATCATACCATTATCATTTCTACATCAGGGAAAATCTTAACAAATCACTCTCACTCACTACGTATGTGGACAAGTCCTACGAGAAAAGCGTTAAAGTCTCAACTCCATTTCACGGCTCTCTGATCTGAAAGACTCCCCACACAAATTCTATGGTTGCAGATCTGCCAACGACAACTATCCATTACAAGTATTTCCATTATTTCATTTTGTTGTGATTATAGTATATCTTATCATTTTTCTCCTGCAACACTTCCGTTTATAGCTATATAGGTTAGCAGGATTTTGGAGTAAACCAGCATACAGACAGGGTTTTTGGGATAAACAAAAAGATCCTAGGGGTTAAACCCAATTATGATTATAATAAGTTATCTCCCTTAGAATTCTCCACAATTTTCTTGAAAACACTTGCTTATAAACACAAATTGCACCTTCCATTCACTGGGAAACTTTGAAAATATCCAAGCATCTTGGTCAATATCGCACAATTTTCAAGTTTGGCAAAAAAAACACATTTCCAGTTTTGGTTGTCAAAAATGAACACATTTGTATATGATTGAAATAATAAACAGATAAAGCAATTAGAATTTATGGGATCAGAAACAGATAAAATAATTACAATTTAATGTGTTAAAAAAATATATTTTCCTGTTGAACTAGTATACTGTACATATAGAAAAAGTAACAGGGATCTCAATAATACAGGTACGTATATATATACACGCATAAAGTCATGGAGCAGACTTCTTCAGCTCTACGCACATCTCATCTCCATGGTAACAGTAACAAAACATAAACAAAATCATCAATACAATCCATCATAACAAGCACCATTATTTTGAACGAATTAACTTTCTGTAGAAAATTATCATCAGAATGTCATATTAAAAGTTGTCACCAAGGGTGTGACGATCACCTCATACACTTTATATTATAGAACAAAAAAAATCATGTGCTTTTAAAAATCTTGTGTTGGTTGGTATATAACTTGGTATGGATGTGGAAACCAGTTATTTTTTCAAAATATTTACTTGTCTAATATTAAAGCACAATTGGCGAAAAACTACAAGTTATGGCCCAGGTTCTCCAAATAATCATTAGTTTCGTGTTTTAATTTCTTGCTCTCACAAATTACAACATGGAAACACTTCTGTTCCCTACTGCTGCTGAATGTCAAATGCATTCCGATTGGTCGATATAAATGCAACATTATAAAAGTTTGCAGTTATCCTTTTACACTATTCACATTTCACAAGAACTGTTTTCCATGTTTTCAAAATGTCCAGCATTTATCACACCTGTGTCATTCAGTTTTACCGCATGTCTTCACACTTAGAACACTTTCTTCAGAACTAAAAACATCTGAAGGATTTCTTTAAAGTTGTATACAACTACCCCGGTGATTTAAAGATCAAAAGATTTTTTCCTCTTAAGAGGGGAAATACTCGATGGATTTTTCTTTGGTGTTCGAGGTCGTCGCTTCTCGGGAGATGGCGTCGGTGAGGTGGGCGCATCATCTGGACGTTTCTCGTTTGGTGCCGTGACCAGGAGATGTGTAAGAATGCTGCCTCCCTGCACTGCATCTCCATGGAGAGTGAGGAACAGAATGAGGGCTGCCTGAATGGACAGAACTCGATCCTGGTTTTTGTCGCCTGGAAATTGATCCCAGTAAATGGTGTGTTCCCACAGGTGTTTTACGAAACACACCCTGCTCTTGTACAGTTTACCTGCATTAGAAAGGATCAGATTGTAAACTACATAATACATTTGGAACAAAATATTTCAGTTGCTTGAAGGGTTTTTAATTATCGCCTCCCTTATTAAGGTCCCAATTAAAAGTATGACAGGCCAAATTTTTCCCAATATGCCAAAATAAATTCTCAAAAGTTCGAAAATGTATTATATATCTTTACCCAATGGGCAGCTTATGAATCACGTATTAAGTATTGTATATTAAACATTGTGATGAAATAATTTAATAACACACTTCATTTAAAAACATCTTTAACATGCGAAAATTCCCAATTTTCCTGGACACTAGGAAAGTGGAATGAGGGAAATCTCTCCCCCCCCCCCCCTTCATTGTAGGTTCAGAGGTTGACACCTATGTGACTTGGCTGCATACAGGTACCCTTTGTGGGTTTTGAAATATATTTATAAACATTGTAGCTTTCTCAGGCCACATGATTTGACAAAAAAAACACCACAGAGTCCTAGGGCTCTAGATTCCTCCAAGATAACACGCTTTGCCATGTTTTTTTTATATATAGGGCTATATAACATAACCGGCCTCGCATGATCATGATGGTAAATAGTGCCGTTTACACATAATACCGGTGTATTCACTCAAGTGGAACGATTGAAATCTCCGTCAGCACAAACTGAATAACTGCTAAAAATAGAGTAGGATGCTTTCCTACGATAGAGTAACACAATTCTCCAAAAGATTTGTAATAAGCAATTTTATATTTCGTTTTGAACATAACATAAACATGAAGCATGCATGTTAAACGTAAGCTAGCTGTCTTGGTCCAGACAGCAGTTTGCTAACGCAGATTATCACACGAGCTGGGATATCATTCATTCATAATTTTCAACGGGAAAAGTATGCAAACTGATTTTTTGTTGTTGTCAACTCCTGCAAACATCTCAGATGTCCTGTTAATAATATTTAAAAAACACTGAAGACAAATTCGACAACAACTTACCACAAATACTGCAGTTAATTCCTCCGTCGTAATCCTGGTATTTGCTCAACACACCGATTACGCCACCAATATCGAGTGAACGGTGCGACACTCCGTTTGCGTCGTAATGTTTACATCTCGGATCGAGTCTCATACGCTTAGGCCTTTCCTCAAATCCCAGGTGACTAGTAGTTTCCATTTCTGTGGCAAGCATTTTGGATAAAATCAGAGAGTGTCACTTTTACCAAAATGCTAATCGCTGTCAGAGGCAAAACACTCGACCTCGTGGTTCCAGACCATAACAATATCACGTGACTGTTTATTTACCGTCTAATCCAATAAGATTTCCCAAAAGCTTACCGCCATTGAAGACCACGTGGATTTTTCGCGGGAAATGATGTGCCACCTTTGCGCATGATGTTTATTATATCAGTCTGTGGTAAGAGGCTCATTCGGGGGGATTGTTTCAAAATATTCAAAATAACTATGTTTTAACTATATATAACATTTGAAGGAGTGCATATTTACTCAGAGATGTATAAATCCACATGCAATACCGTATTTTAGGTTTCCGGTTTACTCCAAAGAATAAAGAGACAATTAATAAACTGAAAGCTTTAATTACTTTTAATTGATTTCACGAGAAAGTTGAATGCCTGGCATTCTTTCATTCCAGACGAATTACGCTAACTTACGTCAGTTCTATTTATACTTCATTGACAAGCCTTTCTTGAAACTAGAGAAATATATACGTCTCTGCAGAGAAGGAGCTAATTTTTGTTTGAGCGGGTATTTTTTAACCTTTGACCAGAGAAGAGACGTATATATTACATTATGTATACGTCTCTGATCAGAAGCGTACTGTCATACTATCTATGTATCTGCTTTGACCAGGAATAACTAATTGATATGCATATCTAGCATACTGCATGTCTCTGTAGCACGTAAAGATGCAATTAAAACGTGGACTTTCTCTTCTATGTATTCTAGCGATTGAAGGCACCAAATAAATGCGTATTTTTTTAAAGCTGTCCAAGTAATTGTTTTATCTCGTTTTAACGAGATAGCATAACAACGACTTTGTATTTCGTTATAACGCCAGCCTTAATAGGTACTTCGTTACAACAATCCAATCCCTTTATAATGAAACAGCTATTAGATCTCGTTATAATGCCTTAATTGATATATGCCGTTATTACGACTAAGCATATATCGTTATAACGACTTAGTATATCCACGGAATTAGATTAAAATCCATGGTATATCGTTATAACGACTTAGTATATCCACGGAATTAGATTAAAGTCTGTGGTATATCGTTATAACGACTTAGTATATCCATGGAATTAGATCTAAGTCCGTGATATATCGTTATAACGACTTAGTATATCCACGGAATTAGATCTAAGTCCGTGGTATATCGTTATAACGACTTAGTATATCCACGGAACTAGATCTAAGTCCGTGGTATATCGTTCTAACGACTTAGTATATCCACGGAATTAGATCTAAGTCCGTGTATACCGTTATAACGACTTAGTATATCCACGGAACAAAATCTAAGTCCGTGATATATCGTTATAACGACTTAGTATATCCACGAAATTAGATCTAGGTCCGTGGTATACTGTTATAACGACTTAGCATATCCACGGAACTAGATCTAAGTCCGTGGGATATCGTTATAACGACTTAGTATATCCATGGAATTATATCTAAGTCCGTGGTATACCGTTATAACGACTTAGAATATCCACGGAATTAGATCTAGGTCCGTGGTATACTGTTATAACGACTTAGTATATCCACGGAATTATATTTAAGTCCGTGGTATACCGTTATAGCGACTTAGTATATCCACGGAATTAGATCCTAGTCCGTTATCCACGGAATTAGATATAAGTCCGTGGGATATCGTTATAACGACTTAGTATATCCACGGAACTAGATCTAAGTCCGTGGTATATCGTTCTAACGACTTAGTATATCCACGGAATTAGATCCTAGTCCGTTATCCACGGAATTAGATATAAGTCCGTGGGATATCGTTATAACGACTTAGTATATCCATGGAATTAGATCTAAGTCCGTGCTATATCGTTATAACGACTTAGTATATCCATGGAATTATATCTAAGTCCGTGGTATACCGTTATAACGAGTTAGTATATCCACGGAATTAGATCTAGGTCCGTGGTATACTGTTATAACGACTCAGTATATCCACGGAATTAGATCTAAGTCCGTGGTATACTGTTATAACGACTTAGTATATCCACGGAATTAGATCCTAGTCCGTTATCCACGGAATTAGATATAAGTCCGTGGTATATCGTTATAACGACTCAGTATATCCACGGAATTAGATCTAAGTCCGTGGTATACTGTTATAACGACTTAGCATATCCACGGAACTAGATCTAAGTCCGTGGTATATCGTTCTAACGACTTAGTATATCCACGGAATTATATTTAAGTCCGTGGTATACCGTTATAGCGACTTAGTATATCCACGGAATTAGATCTAAGTCCGTGGAATATCGTTATATAACGACTTAGTATATCCACGGAATTATATTTAAGTCCGTGGTATACCGTTATAGCGACTTAGTATATCCACGGAATTAGATCTAAGTCCGTGTATACCGTTATAACGACTTAGTATATCTACGGAATTATATTTAAGTCCGTGGTATACCGTTATAGCGACTTAGTATATCCACGGAATTAGATCTAAGTCCGTGGTATATCGTTATATAACGACTTAGTATATCCACGGAATTATATTTAAGTCCGTGGTATACCGTTATAACGACTTAGTATATCCACGGAATTAGATCTAGGTCCGTGGTATACTGTTATAACGACTTAGTAGGACATGTGAGATTTTTTTTCAATTACGTGCACAAACAAAAAGACAACACTAAAAGCTATTAGCTGTTACATGAAATTATTACTTACAGTTCATACTACGCTGTCAGTTTCATTTTTGTATTTAATTACTGAATTAATAATAATAATAAAAGTCGGCCAGTCAAGCAACTTCTTGTGCTACATGTAAGTTCACTGCACGATGTAATAACAAACTGTGTAGCACTGTACTAAAATACTATCACATGATGTATTAATAGCTTATAATAAGTAGATTTAGCCTTGATTTAGGTTTTGTATATCAGCAATATAAGTCACGTGATAATTTCTTGGGAAATATTTTTTTAACTACTAGTTTTGTTTTGCATAAAGAGACACGGTAGTCTAGTGTTAGGACGCCGGGCTCGTGACCGAAGGGTTGAGAGTTCGAGTCACGGCACGGCACTGTGGAAACATGTCGACATATGTAAACGTTATTGCAACATATTCATAGATGATGTCGACATCTTTTAAACGTTATATCGACATACTGTAGGTAACTCGTAGGTTGATGGCAGAAATATACCACCATTGATAACACACCGTGGAGAATGGACAAGAAAATCCTATTCATCATGTTTAATTGAAGTTTTTCCTAAAATATATATTTTTTAAAATACCAGCATCATATGTATTTCTCTAAACTGGCTACTGTCTAGCATGTTACTACTGAGGTAAAGAACGTTATCATTGACGTTTACACTTCCGGAGTATCTGGTTCAGCTCTGTACTGACTAGTATGTTACTACTGAGGTAAAGAACGTTATCATTGACGTTTACACTTCCGGAGTATCTGGTCCACCTCTGTACTGACTAGTATGTTACTACTGAGGTAAAGAACGTTATCATTGACGTTTACACTTCCGGAGTATCTGGTCCAGCTCTGTACTGACTAGTATGTTACTACTGAGGTAAA